CAGAGGGACAGTCGCCTCTACCACCAGCACTCGGCAGAGCCCTCGGTCATGGCAGCGAGAGGCTTCATGCACACTGATCCTAAGTGAGCGTGATCTCCCTTTTAATTAAGACATGGGTTATGCTAATCCTCCAACCCCCTTAAACTAAATCAGTCCGTTAATGAGTTGTTGGTGTCCATATGTCTCTGCCTTATGAGCTGGTTGCTGTATATTTGCTGTGTTTATACTTCGCTGCGGTGCTTCGGAAATGTATTGACAATTGTGTTCCTTTAAAAAGACCCACCCGTGTAACAGGCTAAAGTTGCAACAGGACACTGGAAATGTCATCTCAGGCCTCCAAGACTGGCTGGACAAAGAACGAGAGGGTCAGGGAAAGAGCACAACAACGTCTGGTCCATCTCACTGGCAAAGCCAGAGGCTGGGCATGAGAAGAGGAGAAAGCAGATACGATGGGGCTTTCACAGCATCCTACTCTCTTGCTGGGGAGAGTGGGGATGGAGCAGATACGGATCCAGAGACAGGAATTTGAGCCTCTTACTGCCCATTCAACCCAGCTGTGAATGCCCCTTGGCCATCTGGGCTGGCAAGTCAAAGGTAGCCAGATGTGACACAAGATGCAGCACATTTGTCCAGTGCGCCACTGACTTGCGCAGCCCTTTCCACTTTGTCTCAGGTGGACCATGGACCCCTGGCACATCTACATGACTTCCCTGGGCGTGCTGCACAGAATGATTTCCTGCCCTGCATGGGCCAGCCATCAAAAACCAGGCATCGCACCTGCTTCGAACAGCCCGGACTGTGCCCCTCAGCAGACAGCCTGAGAGCAGTGTTGTAGGACAGCACTGGGGGGATCTCAATGGACTTACTGGGCAGGGGTGCTTGTGGGCATTCCCTCTCCAGCCCCACACTGCTTGTTTAACAAAGGCAAGAGGAGCTTCCCTTTGTGCCCTGCTCAGGGAACAAACCTGATCACATATGTCACTGGGTGGGTGTTAGGGGTGACAGCCACACACGCCAGGTTACACATCTAAGCAAGCACTGGGCTTCCCTTTCACTCCCAAGCCTCTTATGGACCTAGACACACACATGCGCTAGCCCTGCAGCCATCTGCAAGCACACAGAAGGGAGCTCCTGTAGGGCTAGTGCCCTGCAACCTCACAGCAATGGATGGGGCAATGCACAAATGCCCAACTCTTGCTCCTAGGCTGAATATACCTAAGTGTGTGTAGGGTGCAGGGATAAGGCGCGTGCCGGCTTGTTGCCAGCTCAGGTTCTGTCATTCTGCATTTATGACAGCTGCATCATTCGGGGTTTGGGAGTTAGGCCAGGTCTGAGAAAAGTTAATTGCACCAAACAGACAAGGTTCTTTGGGTAAATCCGATACTTTTTATTAAACCAACTCATATAGTCGGAAAAATTCTTCTTTGCAACCTATACCCTTGCACAAAACATGCATTATGGCAGGGACGCAAGAAGGCTGCAGAGGCCCCCAGCAAGCGTCATGGATTTGCAAGCTGGGTGTTGAACAAATATAAAGAGAGACCCTAGATGAGCTTAACAACCCCAGGCCATGACTCTCTCAGGGGCCGCAGCTGGATTGAATGCTATAGAAAGCTTCAGGAGGGTACAAGGCTCAGTCCAGCACTCCAAACTCATCCACAGGCAAGTAGCTTTCCCCATACAGGTTCACCTTTTGGTTATGTACAATTGATGTCGGTATGGATGCTCAACCCCACACCTCAGTATCTCTACAAACAACAAATTAAAAGAAATACTCCCCCATTCTGAACACATCCCACATTTCTGGCAACAATTCTTTGAGTTTGATCATTTGTACTGGAATTCTTTATGTCCCTTCTAGGCTCCTCTAGTTACCCTAAAGAGCAGGGAGAAAAAAGCAGAAACATCTAAAATAGTGCCTTAAAAATGCCTTTTTTTTTTCATTTGACAGAACACAGAGAAAGGATAGATAGCACAAGTCTTCTAGCCCCAGTGGCATAAATCTCACATTTCTAGCTTGGATGGTTTGTGAATTCTTGAGCCATTAACTCACCCCCAATCTCAGGGAGAATCCTAATTTGCATGTCAGCCCCCCCCC